CTGAATTCTCGTTTTTTGTTAATTATTTATAAAAAGAATCGCAAACAGACGTATCGTATAATTATATTCAAAGAAATATTATCAAAATTAAGATATTTTATACATGATACTTTGTGGATTGTTTTAATCTGTTTCAGGTTGCGATTGCTTGCACATCTGAAGATTCCAATGTAATGTTAGACCCCTACAGTAGATGTTGGAGTTAATGTATGGTCTTTGATGACTGATTGGATGACAACAGTAGTATTTACCACGAGTACTCGAGCACAAATATATCCAATAAACATGTTTAAGATGGGAACGTGACGGAGGCTAAATATGTTTAGAATTGGAACATGACGGAGGTTAAGCATGTTTATGAAAGGAACACCTAGAGGCTAAACATGTTTTAGAGGGTTAAATGTGTTTAGGGTTTAACATGTTCTTATGAGACAGTATTATGGTGTTCTAACCCTAAACATATGCACAAAGTAGAACATGTTTAAGGTTAAACATGTGCTCAAGTGAGAACAAAATTCGCGTTTAGGATTATGTTTAGACTCTAAACACCATTTTTACAGTGTATAAGCGAAAACTTAGGAACATACTATTATATCACTTGATTTCTGCAGCCAATGGAGTTTCTCTTGTTTTACCTTCATGGTGATAGAAGCTTCCAAATAGGTCTAGCGAACACACATATATTATGAAGAATTTTGTATATGATGACAGAAGAAACTCAGATTAGTAAATTAATGTAAATATACAGTGAAGACTAGAACCTGTGTGTTGAACAACAAAATAATATAAAACCACTGTTTTGGTAGGGTTCGTGATGCTCAGTCTTTAGTTTTCTATGTTTTGTTTTGCATACCGTTGTTTGTCTTTTTCGTTTTAGTCGTGGCGTTGTCAGTTTATTTTTGGCTTGTGAGTTTGAATGTCCCTTTGGTATCTTTCGCCTCTCTCAATTTACAAATACTGATAGAGAGAAAACAGTAATGCATCTTCGATAACCAGAAGAAGGTTTTAATTTTATTTAGTAGATAATGTTTTCTCCTTTATTTAGAAGTGGATTTATACATCCATACATGTATAAGGTGTGCATTACTTGATGCTTGAATTAATTGATTTGTTCTAATTCCAGCACGTAAAAACTACATTGTAGTATATGCTTACATGTAATTAAATAGTTTAACCATGATTTGTTCTAATTCCAGCACTCTAAAACTATATAATGTTCAATTAAAAAGTCAAACCACAGTTTGTTCTAATTCCAGAAATCTTAAACTATATAATGCTCAATGGAATAGTTTAACCATGATTAGTTCTAATTCCAGCACTCTAAAACCCTGAAAATGCCCAATTGAATAGTTTAACCACGGTTTGTTCTAATTCTAGCAGTCTTAAACAATCTAAACTTGCATTGACTAGTTTAGCCAAGGCTGGATTTTCTCGCTGCCTTGACGACCGATTGGTGACCTTGGGCTGTTTTCTGCTCTTTGGTCGGATGGTTGTATTTTTGACATATTCCCCGTTTTCATTTTCTATTCTACGTGTATATGCGAATTTCTTTTCTTTCGTAACTTGTTCCTCAGTTTTAGTTTATGTTGTATATGTATTGGTCCAGTTGTTCTACTAATTTAGTTGTAAACTGTTTTACGTAACACATAGTTCAAACTGGTTGTGAACCAAGATCTCTTGTCCTTGAAATTAGCGCAAGAGAAGAAAAAAAAACATTATGTTGTATTTCCTATTTAATGTTTTAAGTGATATAGATAAGGAATACATTTTTCCACATAATACGATTTCTAAGAAAAGTACATATTCTGAATTAGATGTGTTTGTATTGGAAGAAAGATAATTCCAATACACATTTGGTTTAAATATTCATTCAATCATTCGATTTGTTAGAGATAAGACTAGTCTTCATACATAATATTATTCTTGCATAAAATAAAGAACTTCACACATTTCCGTTCATATCTTCAAAAAATCACAAGAAAGAGAGGAAAATGTCTAAAGATACAAAAGCATCAAAACAAGCTTTGACGCTTAGCCACAGTTCAAATTGCCAAGTGACTCCTTTCACAAAAAAAACAACAAAAAAACAAAAACAACTTTACGATAAAAATGTATCTTTTTAAAAGTTTTACTGAAATTTTCATGACTAAAGGTATTTTTACTCGGCAGTGAAATTTTTTGTGGAAAAATCAATAAATCCATCGCGTGTATTATAAGTTAGTAAATTCAGAGCGAATCTAGAATATAAAGGAATATTACGCCCTTACTATCATCAACCTTGCCCCAACTGTAATGGGTAAATAGCCGGTTAGATGAAGATCGATATCCTTAGAAGGTAATTTGCATAGGGGAAAGAAAACTGGCAAATAATGGCTCATCAGCCTTGGTCAGTAAGTTATCTAAAGGAAGGAAACCTTGACAGAAAATCCCTGGCCCTCCAAGTAGAGGGTTCGGAATATGGCTAACAAATCTATACCGTAAATAGATTTCAGTTACGAAAACAGCAACAAAAGAATAAAAAACAATCACTGTGCAAAGGGGCCTTTAAGGAAAAAGTATGATTGCAAGTGGTGAAAGCCACAAGGAAGCTGCTGACAGGAATGAAGAGCTGAGCGCTAAAACAAATCCCAGAATAGGATTCTGGAACGTACGTCCTTTGTTGACCTACATGCCAATTGCATACCGGACAGTAAGTAAGACATTTAGTATGCTATATATTCAAGGTTAAATTGACTGTTTGGTCCTAAATGAAAAGACTGCGCAAATTACTGAAAGACAAAAACTGTTTCCATCATTTTCCCTGTAATTAAACACGACAGGTATCTATAGTAGAACAGGAACTGTTCATTCTTCCTGAGCACTAAATAGTTTACTCACTTTTACCGTTGGTTCGTGTTCAGTTTAGGGTTTCCTTGGAATGTTGGAGGACTAGACGTATTATAAAAATAAAAGAGATATGGAATGATTGCCAATGACCCTACTATCCACCATAGTTCAAATGAAGTGAATATAATATATTGTTTGTTTTTTTACGTTTTTTTTTTCTTTTGGTTAATGTATTGCATGTCCATTGTCTGTGTTGTGGTTTGTCATTGCTTACTGATTTGTTTATTGGAAAACGCACAAATATCACAACATTAGGTTAATAAATAAAATGGTAAAAATATTTCATGTAGATTTCTATGTAAAATTAAAATGCAATATTTGCTAAAATTTTACATGTAACAGGTATTCCTTCACAAATATACCTAAAAAGTAGAGCATTTCCGAAGAGTAAAAAATATCGCATCTTGACCGATATTGCATTCTATACTTTCTCCATTGAGTTTGGTACGCAATAGACAGGTTCAGAATAAAACAGTTTTAATTTGCAAGCAATCAAACGGGAGATAAACAAGATGGCGGAAAAGGACATTCGTCCTTATATTAGGAGTCAGAGCTGCAAGAATTGGACGAAATATTACTAATGTTGCTGAAATATTTATTACTATATTATAAAAGGGTAATTGCACTACAATTCAGGAATATAGCCCGTTGCAGTATATCAAATCTAGGGGTTACTGGCTGTTTATAGTGATACAGGAGATAGCTCCACAATAGTAAATCTGTCTTCAGTTGCAATACTTTGCAGATGCAAGTATTTTTTTATTAAATGCATTTATTTGCCTTTTGTTGGCAGGATGTCACGGCCGTTTTGTTGACTGTGATAGAGTGCACAAGTTTTTCATGGCTTTTCTATTCTTAAGTAGTTTTAATATTATATAGAGTATGTTTTTGCTATGTTTCATATTAAAATGTACGTGCTTTTATGTGCTTTCTTAAGATACTGTAAGCACAGTCAATGAACACAGAAAAATTATCAACCAGACCAAGGACGTCAAAACAAGAGTGAGACAATGCAAATATTTAAAAATCGTGATAATCCAATTTGCGTACCTGCAAAATCGCGATTGTATTGAAAAAAAAATTATAAATACAAATAGTTGCAAATATATCATTTCTGGAGATCCGTGTACACGTTATATGTTTTTATACACTCCACTCACACAACTGAATGTGCAGTTACCTATAACTATTTTAGATTGTAAGACGGCATGGGTAGTAATATACCTTCTTCTTAAACACGAGAATCGAAGATCGCAAATCAACACCATAATAGTCTTAAACATAAAAAGCTATGTGTGTTATCATAAGACTGATTGGTAAATTGGACAGTGAAAAAAGTTGAAGTTGAATTTATCTCTTAACAGTTAATTTTTAATGTAAACTTTAATAAAATGACATGACATAAAATTGAGAATGGAAATGGGGAATGTGTCAAAGAGACAACAACCCGACCATAGAGCAGACAACATATAATAAAATGACATGACATACTTATCCAATGTAACATTAACCTACAAGTACATACTAGACAGCAGTGTAGAAACACTTACACTTAACATTGCAATATATTTTTAACTGTCTCGTTGGCGAATCCAGGAGTAGGGGGTGTTTCGGGGATTGAAACACCCCCATTTGTTTCCATTTGTCGATTTTTCATTATTATTATTTTGTTTTTTAAATCATGTGAATATTTCATGGTGTTCCGGAGGTTGGACCCCCCCCCCCCCCCCCCCTTTTCCTCCTCCTTTTTTAAAATAATTGGATCCGCGCCTGTGTATTGTATTTAATTTTTCAATTGATAAATATTGATATCCGTAGAGTGATAGATATTTCAAAAGCAATTATAAGAACATAACCAAAAAAAATTCACCCTCACATATTTTTATATTTCTCTTGCTAAACATGCATGAAATATTTGCCACTGGCTTTAAACAGTCAGCAATCAAATAAATCAATCAATTGAATTATTATAAGCCTCGCCTTTTCAGACTGAACTACTATCATGCATTAACATAATCTGAAGTGGTTATGGAATTACACATCGCTTCATTGAAGTAACTTGTCTCCCTTGGATAATTCCGTTGTCATTATTGATTGTCGATATATCTATCAAATTCCTTCATTTTATGTTATTGTTGATTTTTCCGGTTCACGGTTCTTGAAATACAATATTGCAAGCACTCTCAAACATGAATAGTTGATGTTCATAATGATGTCAGATGATATACTCCTAGGTCGAGGGACAGGAGCTAGAAAGGTAAATAAATAGCAGATAATTATCAATTTCTTTTACTCTTCACAACTAATTTTGACAGTATATAATAAATTTCTAGGAACATGTATTTTCTCTTAAAACATCTAATCGAAAATGTAATATGAATGAGCACTATAAATATTGTAAATGTTTTATTTGGATTAACATACACATATGTAATGAAGTTTCAGTGTAAAATCGATCGACATTGGTTATTTATGAATTGAAATTCCAGCATGCAAACAAAGATGAAACGAAACAAAAATCTAATGGATGGTGCATTGTTATTTGATAACGTCAAGTGACAAATATTTCAGGCATAATAGAGACGACATATATCGGAAAAATGTATCGAACACAAACAGTTTTGTTTTTAAGATGTTTGTATTGACTCTATTGTATGAATGACTGAGTAATGAATAGGCGGTTGGTTAAAAGCACAAAAGAGAAGATAACACGTTCCATATCGATTTTAAAGAAACTAATGTCACTGAAGCGAATTATGTCAACTCTCAATTATTGACTTAAAAATAATGACCAGAGTAATTGCAAACTAAAAACAATACACCAAATACGATTAACAGATTCAGTTCATTGAATTGTATAAATATTTTTTTATGAAGATGGTACTGAAAGTTCTTCTTTTCCATTTTAAATTGTTGTTTTTAAACGCACCTATTGCACACCTTGATATTTTCTTCTTATCATGAAATTATATATAATATGAGTAAAGAGCTCGTTTATATGATAATAGCACTTTCACTTTTAAAATACGACGTACTGAAAATACTGCAGTACCTTTGAGCTTTAGTTATGGAAAATATATTCCTTTTATGACTTGAAACTTGATAAAATAATTAACTCAAGAAAAGTAAAACCTTCTACAGGTTTGTCAAATTCTCACAAATGTATATAGCAATTGATTAATATCGTGAATATAGGCCAGGTTAGTTTAGATAAGTGCTTCAAAAGCAATGGTCAACTTTAATCGATGACTATTTTCCAATAACTAAGTTATTATATGTAAAGGGTAACATAAACACTATGTGAATTAAATGTTGAGTAACAATGAATTACTTTGTCTTTTCATTTTCTAGCCTTTTAACAGTTAAATGGAGAACCAACCGGGCCAAGATATTGACGACCAAGAAAACGCAAAGCTAAATAAAACAGAAAATGGTAACACGGAATCCATACATGATACTACATTGTCTGAAAACATTCAGATTCGAGACAATAATTATAAATGTGACACATCTACTAGACGTGACAGCAATGATAATGATTCGTTACGGTCTGGAAAATCGGCACAAAATCAGCAAAGAACTGAGACATATTTGAAATCAGAAAACGAACAAATGGACCTTAAATCTAACGGTACAGATAAAACTATAGATATAACTGAATCTAGACTCCCTGCAATAGACAGACATGAAAATAGCAGTCTTCAACATTCCGGTCATCCTGCTGATGCTGACGCAACGTCAGATTTTGGTGACGAATACGACATGTCTGATGAACAGTCAGATGAAAACGAACCATTTATTGCAACTATTTATACATGCCAATCATGTGGATGGAAACCCCACATGGAAAAATGTTCTGTTCATAGACCTTTCCAGACGGGGTTTTCGAACGGTGTTTATCAGTATCAAGGAATAATGCCGAGTCAAGTCCATAGTTATCAAAACTATAACTTTTCTGGTTATACTGCTGGACAGAGACCTGTATACCCTAGTGTACAGCCAAGGCAAACTGTTGACATGCGCTTTAATCCTGCTACTAGCCAAGTTGTTGCAGTACCATCAGTGGTAGTTAATCAGGTTGTTATTTTTTTTTTATTTGCAATGATTTACACACAAAAACAAAAACACATAAACACACGCGCGCCCGACAACAGACTATGAAAATGTAAGTTACATTAGATATAAAAAAACAAACTGCTATATTTCGGCAGCTACGCAAAATAAATTTCCGACCATTTTGCAATTGCAATTCAATCGCAGTTCTATTCTTATTATTCAAGTTCCAATACTAAATGATAGACGACCATCGTTTTCTTTGATGAAATAAGAATTACACAACACACTATTTTCTTGCAGTTGAGACTTTTAATATAAAAATAAAAAGATGGTATAATTGCCAATGAGACAACACTCCAATAAAGACCAAATGACAAATGACAGAAGTTACATGTATTACTAACAACTATAGGTCACCGTACGGCCTTCAACAATGAGCAAAACCTATTTTAGTTTAACCATGTTAGTAATGTAAAATAATGTGTATTGACATTTGTATATTCATTATTCCTAATTATTCAAAGGTACGTATTGATATTATGACAATATAGATATAATGTGTTTGAGAATAAACAAGTAAACAAGACCCTAAAAGAATGTTATCACATGTACATGTATGTTTTTTTTTAATTCGAAACAGGCAACATTTATTTACATAAGTTCTTTTCAAATTGAAACCAATTTTGAAAAAAGAGAACGTTTTACTAACAATATCAAAATACTAAATCGATGACTTATTCCAATGACACATATTTTTGTTTTGTTGCAGACAGAAAATTTAAACGACTACATCAGAACAATACAGAGTCTTCGAAGAAGAGCGTTTTGTCTGAGTATAATCATGATTGTTCTTGTATTTGGTGTAGTAACACTTGCCATTTTAATGTCATAGAAACTTGACTATGAAAAGATATTTTTAATAATATTGAAGTTGTTTTGCCCTACTTTGTGTAATTTTACACACAAATATTTCAGAAACAAAATGAAAATATTCACCTGTATAACCGTATTAGACGGCACAAAATCTACTGCACCAGATGCACACTTATCAGTGATGCTCGAGGCGAAAATGTTGAAAAGCTAAGAAACAGACAAAGGTCCAGTGACAAAATCGAGGAAAAGTCAGAGTATACCAAGATGATGTTTGCCTCAAATGCATTCATCCAAATATTCTCGTTAAAGAAACACTTCTTTATAAAAGATAAATGACTGCAAGTACAAATGTAGAGACACTGATTTTACTAGTACATCAAATGTCTCATCATGTTATAGTATCTGATAGTTCGTATGAGAATACCATTCTCCATATACAAAATTTCATCCAGACAAGTAGCAATTGAAATTATTGCATGAAGAAAACTTACAACATGTTTATGTTTTCATGTTTCCAATGGACATGCATAGTGATAACGACAAATTTTAATAAACTTCCTCATACTGGAACAGAACATGCAACATACATTTCTGTGCACAATACGCATTTCTGAATGCAACTAGGAACAGATAAGGTGTCAGTATTTATTGAGTGTAATCTTAAACATATCGGTGTAAAATGAGTAGGGGGTATATGTCATGCAGCACCACAGCAATACAAAACACCAAAATATATCTACAGGTTCAAAATAAATGGGTATGTGATAAAAACCATCAGATACAAGGTTTATAATTAGATAGCTTGTATCGTCTTCATACGTCTCATGAATGGCGCGTGAATCATAACAATGAAATGACCAAAGCAAAGCGAAGCATATATATATATATATATATATATATATATATATATATATATATATATATAGGAGTAATAAATGTTAAAAAAAATATTTCTGTTTATTTAAAAGTTGTATTCAAAATATATATGAAAAATATGCATATTTCGTTCTATAGTATTGTTGCTTTAAGCAGTTAAATAACAAAATGGTTAAATACTGAAAGTCCTCATAATAACACCATCTACATGATCGCGGAAAATATTACAACTATAAAAGAAGCCAGCCTCCGGGTGCGGAATTTTCTCGCTGTGTTTAAGACCCATTGGTGGCCTTCGGCTGTTTTTTTGCTCTTTGGTCGGGCTGTTGTCTCTTTGACACATTCCCCATTTCCATTCTCAATTTTATTAACTTAATCATTTGAATGGTTATGTATATGCAAACAATTGATAGACGCTATAATGATGTCTAACCAGACCATAAGTAACTTCCCTATTCGTTCTTCATAACGTTTTGTCATATTAAAAAATCCCCACCCTACCAATTAGCCCAATCTTTTGTGTGTATAATGTACAGTACATGTCCCAAAATGTATCCAACATTTGAAAAAATTTAACCTTTACAGCTCACAAATTTAGCCCAAACACATCTATACCGTATGGACAAGTCAAGAAATGTTCCAAAAAAATAAAAAATGTTACCTTTTTCAACCTGTTACCTGGCCTGATCACACCGTCTTTCAATATATCAGTTAAAATTAAACGTTCAAAAGTTAATTTCAATTACCTTCTTTCATGTCCACCTGATTAAAACTTAGAAATGAACGAGAAATAGGAAATAACAAGAATTTGTCCATAGTACACGGATGCCCCACTCGCACTTTCATTTTCTATGTTCAGTGGGCCGTGAAATTGGGTTAAAAACTCTAATTTGGCATTAAAATTAGAAAGATCATATCATATGGAACATGTGTATTAAGTTTCAAGTTGATTGGACTTCAACTTCATCAAAAACTACCTTGAGCAAAAACTTTAACCTCAAGCGGGACAGACGGACGGACGGACAGACGAACGGACGAACGAAAGCACAGACCGAAAAACATAATGCCCCTCTACTATCGTAGGTGGGGCATAAAAACAAAAAACAACTATTATAATTCAAGGAAACTATACTCGCGGACAACGAAAATAAGGGTCATTAGTTGTGGTCGCCTAGTGTTGTTTAATTAGGTGGGCGGATCTTAATATTTTTTTTTCATATAGAATTGAAACCATATGACGAGATGACGTGCTTCGACTTTCAGCCAATAAAAAAATCATTATCTTTATGAATTGACCACCTACTGTAAATATTCTGAAATCCAGCACCGCATCTTATTTGCGTCAAGATGATATTTAATTCGCTAAGGCCATGAAATGACATTTTGCAAGTAGAGAACTCTTAAACTTAGATCGTGACTCCACAGAACGAACCAAATGGACCAATTTATTCCATTCTCTGATTTTAGAATGGAAAATGATGAATTATCTAGTGAAAGTCTACATACTAGTAAAGGATTTATTGATTTGCATTTCGTAATTTCGTAATGGATTTACTGACATCATTTGTATACACGCAGAAACTGATTACTGAATATGTTCCAGTGCATAGCCAGTTACAACGGTAAATTAAATTTTTCGACAGTATCGATGTATGGTTATAGCTTCACACCCTTTCTCAGCGTATCACGCTGCATCCTTTTGTAATTTTTTAAAACTGTGTAAACTTGACAATACCACATAAGCATATATATATCAGATTTTACAAGCATGTTAAAAGAGGGACAGATATAAACTAGATATCATTTTTCAAGATTCTGACTTATTAGCCTGTAAACTACGTCACACACAAGGATACGTTTCTATTTTTTCATCGGAAACGGCTCACTTCAAGTTAAGTTGACACAGTTTTATACAACATATATTCACTTCTCCGAAAAACCTATTAGTACTTAACAATCGCCATCATTTGGTAATTAAAAAGGCTGTCAATTTTGGACTATTCAATTTGAATTATAATTGTTTGGCAATCCTAAATGTTTGTTGACATCTTTTTTGTTACTGTCAATTTGGTCGTTTCATTTAGCATTTTTTAGGCAGTGTAACATTTTGGACTATTCAATTTTAATTTTAATTTTTTTAACAATCCTAAATGTTTGTTGACATATATTTTGTTACTGTCAATTTGGTCGTTCCATTTATCAATTTTTAGGCAGTGTAACAACCGAGTGCTTATGACTTGTAGATATTGATATAATTTTGCTATCAACAGAAAATTCAAACAAACCAATGGACTTGGAATTTGAAAAGATCACAATGTCTGGTTTATTTCTTGATAAAACGACATTAACCATTCATTTAGTTCGCTTAAGTCATGATATATAATAATTGTTTTGATATCTTCAGCACTACGATTGGAATACCTCAATGAAGTGTCATCAGTAAACAATCTGGTTAAGGACTTTAAGCTTTCAGCAATATCGTTGATCATATTAATAGAGATAAGGAACATTACGTCACCTACTACAGAACACTGAGGTACCCAGTATAACCAGAAGATGAACTTTTGTAAACAACTTTTTGTTGTCCGTCTTTAAAATAATTTTCGAACCATTTAAAAGGATTTCCTTGTATTCCATAAATTCCCATTTTCTTTAGTAAATTTCTATGCAAAACCCTGTCGAACGCTTTAAACAAAATTCTAGCTAATTCAAAATCAAATTGTAGAGTTTCAGTATTTGATAGACAACAATTGAGTGTTTTAACAATAAAAAAAAAAGAATTCAAATATTAATGTGTTTCTCATTAAATGGTTTTCAACATGTTTGACACATTTCCCGTTTCCATTCTCAATTCTATTATACACATCTCTTACAATAACTTATAAATTTTCTAACACAACTTTTCTGTGATATTGATCAGTGGATTATATTTGATGAAAGAGATGCGTCACACTTATTTTAATATGGCAATCACATTGGCTCGTTTCCACAGAGATTGATATTTACAATGTCAGAGAGAAAATATGAATAGAGGTTTGGTGTTTTTCGATTGCTGTTGTAATTTATTTTAAGGTGGTTCTTAATTAACAATATTTTTTTAATGATTAATTTTGTTGGGACCTTTTGCCTTATAAGGATCAAGAATCTTGAAGATGTCGATCACTTCATTTTCGGTTAGTTCTAATTCGTCAATGATATCGGTTTTTGAGCAAACATCAGTATACATTTTCTTCATCAAACCAATATATGTGTTAAGTAATTCACATTTGTCCTGTTCATCGTACATACTATCGTCTTAGTTTTGATCGTTTATAATATTTTGGAGTGGCGGATTAGAGTGGTTTCCCTTTATTTGATTTTATATGCATTTTCATTATTTTTCAATCGTGACATTTTCGGATTGGACTTGTTGTTTGATGAAAATACATCTACATTTAAAAAAAAAAGAAGAAACACAGCGATATTTATAACACATAACTCAGTCGCACTTTGAAGTGAATTTTCTAAAAAGAAATAACTGAAATCCAAGTGAAAGTACATACCAGAAAACTAACAAACAATATAAATAAATATTTATGAAAAAAAAAATAATAAATACACTTTAGCGTCAATAAAGCACACACTCTCATACACAACAAACAGCTGACAGAAATGAATAATTCTGCAAAGCACCCGAAGATATTTAGAAGGGTAAATCTTGTTCTTACCGTTAGTATAGGACTTGTAATGCATTTGTGATGGGCGATGGACCATGATTCAACTTGGATTATCTACCGTCTCCCACAAAACAAATCTCAATTAAACAATAACTTTAATGAACCTTTTGAAAACCAAATACAAATGCATTATATGTATTTGAGCTAGTTTATGTGTAATAAGTTAAATATATTATGTCGCATTTCCGGACGTCTCTATTAAGACTTATTATATTGAACACAGTAGTACGAGGGGTGTCAAAAGTTAAATGTTAACGTGTGAACTATTGTCTATATATTACATTGTATATGCTCTTCTTTTTTTTCCCTGAAAGCAACAATTGTGTTTGTTATCATTCAATTTATGATTTTTGATAGCTCCATGAGTTACTCTATTTAACGAACGTCCTTATATTTAGCTTGAGTGACGGAAACACTTGTGAAGAATCACTCCACGTAGAAAATTATCTTGACAATTTAAAGGCAATTTTATTATTAAAAAATCCCCATATTGAGCTCACCAGCAGTAGGGTGTACCTTAGTCCTTAGTTAACGCTTTACACTGTCAAGCAACATGACGTTGATAGATTATGAATAAAACAAAATGAATGTGCAAGTTTCTTTTATTCATAGGAACATGTAACCCTTGAAAATAACTAAAAAGTAATGCTGGTGAATGGTAAACACATTTTGCAAAGTAATATTTAATTATTTAACAGATGCAATATTAATCACATGGTAACTATTTGCGAAAAATAAAGAACATTTTATTAAAAAACAATAATTATTCTCGCTTTTTCATCTAACATATTACGTTATTTCACTTGTCTCATATTGTTTGTCCTCATAATTTTTTTATTCGTGGTTATTTTGTTTTACTTTTCTTTCTTGGCATCGTCCTGAAAATGCATGAAATGTTTGCCACTGGACGGTAAGCAACCAACAATCAATCAATCTTTTTTCGGTAGGTGTTGGAGGGAGTTGATTATGGTTTGTTTGTTTTAAAGATCAATTTGTTTTGTAACTTTTTGTAAGGGCATAATACATATGTAGTTATCATAAACGTACTGGATTACTTTTAATACAAGATAAAATGTACAAACATTATGATAATTTTCTTTATTAGTACTAGTAATAATTCGTCTAACATCTTAGAATCATACAGGAACAACATTGTGGTAGACGTTTGTATTGGCGAATTAACTGACCAAGTTTTGGACACCAGATATAATAAACCATGGTCTTGAAATTGGTATGCCTGCAAGCCTTTATTCCGGGGAAGACATGTTCTTGTACAGCTGTCACTCCAAGACAACTCCTTTGTCTGTAAAATAGTTCAAATGTCATATAAGTTAGCAGTACTTGTTATAAGAAATAAATATTTCCTACTTTAAAACCCCCAGATCACGTGATAAATTCATGTTCGCAAGATATTTAGCACCAGAAAAGTTGAGTGGGTATAAAGATGTTTATAACTGGAATTCATCTTTTTGGATATGATGCATGGATGTATGAATATAACATAAGTTTAACAAGTAAGAACTAACACTTCAAAATCTTTAGAACGTTTGAGTCAACTGTTTTTTTTATTAAAATATTCTAAGTTTCTAAATAACACAGATTATTTTTATTCTGTTTCACATAAATGCGTTAAACATGGTTGAAACTGACAATTACAAACACATTAATGATTTAGAGCGTTTACTTAACGCCCTTAACCATGCAATGTGTACATCTTACATCATGTCCAACATTTTATTAAATCAGGAATAAGCCAGTCGTTGTAGGATTCCATTTGCTCCATCAGTTGACATGTTTTCCTCCAATTAGTGTTTAGATTGCAATACCACTACTTCTTATTCATTGATTTATTGTATTGTTATACTACGACAAGTATTCCTTTCATGTTCTATATTTGTTTTTAAATCTGTGAATTTTGATTTCTTTTGTCCTTTTAAATTCAGACTTAAAAAATCCGTTTAAAGTCAATTCATTCTGTTGTGACAAGATAAATTGAGAATAGAAACGGGGAATGTGTCAAAAAGACAACAACCCGACCAAGGCTACCAATGGGTCTTCAACACAGCGAGACAATCTCGCACCCGGAGTCGGGCTTTAGTACATACTAGTACTACAGTAACTGCTGAACCAAACTTTAGGGTTGTTCTTATTATTATTAGCTCACCTGGCCCAAAAGGGCCAAGTGAGCTTTTCTCATCACTTGGCGTCCGTCGTCGTCGTCGTCGTCCGTTAACCTTTACAAAAATCTTCTTCTCTGAAACTACTGGGCCAAATAAAACCAAACTTTGCCTAAATCATCATTAGGCTAAAAATAGAACATGGGGGTACAATACAGTTTTTGGCTTATATCTCTGAAACTAAAGCATTTAGAGCAAATCTGACAGGGAATAAAAATGTTCATCAGGTCAAAATCTATCTGCCCTGAAATTTTCAGACGAATCAGACAACTTGTTGGGTTGCTGCCCCTGAATTTTATAGAAATTTTGCAGTTTTTGGTTATTATCTTGAATATTATAATAGATAGAGATAAACTGCAAACAGCAAAAATGTTCAGCAAAGTAAGATCTACAAATAAATCATGACCAAAATTGTCAATTGACCCCTTAAGGAGTTATTACCCTTTAAAGTAAATTTTTCACTATTTTTCGTAAATTTTTGCAATCTTTTACAAAAATCTTCTCGTCTTAATCTACGTGGCCAAATTGAATTAAACTTAGCCACAATTATTATTAGAGTATCTTGATTGAAAAATGTATCTGATGACCATGCCCTACAGCCAACATGTTCACCATGGGTAAAAATAGAACATAGGTGTTTACTATAAAAGTCTATGGGAAAAATGTAAAAAAAAATTTCAATGGTCACAACTTGAAAACTAATTTAAATAATGATAAGGGGTCTTCAGTAACTATTGTAAGACTAAAAAACCATTATTATATCTTTTCTTTCACCATACTTATATTGGGTGAATGCCCCCCCCCCCCCCCCCCCCCCCCAGACCAGGCAGGTTAGTCGGGTTCAAGACCCTTGCCCAAATTTTTTTGAAGGGTGTTAAAAAAACCATTTAAAGGCATTTCCAGCATTATACAGGCCCAGGGTGAAATAAATTTTTGAGCGGAGGAAAGGAAATTTTGCATTTTTTGTTAATTATCTTGAATATCATTATAGATTGAGATATACTGTAAACAGCAAAAATATCAAGCAAGTAAAGATCTACAAATAAGTCAACATGACCAAAATTGGCAATTGACATCTCATTGGAGTTATTGTCCTTTAAAGTAATTTTCTGCAATTTATTGGTAATTTTTGTAAATTTTTTAATTTAACTACTGGGCCAAATTAAACCAAACTTGGCCTCAATCATAATAAGGTATCTATAATGAGTTTAACCGTATTTTACATGATTTCCAAAACCACAGTAGATACAGGTGAGCGACACAGGCTCTTGAGAGCCTCTAGTTTTTTAGTACGGTCAGATGTTTTCGTGATTCCCATTCACTTCTTGTCTTTCGGTCTTTGGTGGATAGTTGTTTTATTGGCATTTATACCACTCTTCAGTATTTTGCTGCAAATGATTAATAGATACTACAGTTACACAACCGCTGTGTGTATGAAAAGCTGACAGCTAACCATACTTACTGAAAACCAACATAATTATAAACAACCAAAGTACTTACTGACAATTAACGTATGGACATCCTCCATATTGTCTAGTCCATGGTCGTAAGATCCAACAATGTTGTCCGTGGAATTCAGTTGATTTTGGGAAATAAAATAAATTTTGAACAGCAGGACAGGTATCAATCCATTGTGAAGACAAGCGTGATGGCGGGTGTGGTGGTGCACCATATGTACTATGAGAAGATCTGATATATATAAAAACTGCTAAATTAATTAGATTTCATTTTAGACATGTCGTAAGCATAAAGTGTCAATGAATTTCTATTTTTGAGGGAATTGTTTAATTGTTTAGTGATTGTTTTGTCAATGTTGCATTGTTTAAACTAATAATTTCCATTTCCAAATCGATCTGACTTTAATTTGTTCATTGTTTTGTTGTTTTTGATGCTTCTTAACTTTTATTTATTTCGCCTTTCAAAGTTTTGGTCTTGAGATTGCCTTATAAAGGTATTATAGAAACAAGTGTCGTTGGCATTGTAATTGAATGATGTAACGCGTTTATTTTCTTATTGTATCCTGATAATATTTTTACACTACAAAATTGACTATTTAAACCCAACAGTTACTTGTTTCATTGTGAATATTTTTCGCCAATTAGCAATTATGTTTTTCAGTATTCATTCAATTTTCCTTTATAGTTAGTTTGTATGAACTGTATTTTCCTATCACTTTAATAGTAATGATTTTGTACAATAATTAGCTAAAGCTGACACACACGTGTACGCTATTATATAGTAAGTATTTCAAAAACTATAACGGTTACCCCCATTTCAAATTTTATTTTCTTATGTATTTTTACAGTCATAATTCGGAATTATCATGTTTTCGTTCCAGGTGGGAGGAATTTTTTTTCAAGATACAACATCCTATATGAACACGAAAATGAATAAATATTATAAAAATGAAAATTAATAATTTTTTGGTAATTTATAAAAGGATGGGGAAAGAAAAATATTTTCAATGAGTGTCTTATATACAATCCCGGTTTCGTCCCACCTCTATGGAATTGTGTTACATTTGACAAAGAGAGTTGGACGAAACTGGGATTATATAGATAATTGTCTTGTATGTAATCCCGGTTTCATTCCATTCATATGAAAATTTGTTACATTTAACATAATCGGTGGGACGAAACCGGGATTATATATAGAAAATACTCTTATATGTAATCCCGGTTTCGTCCCACTCCTTTGGAAATTTGTTACATTTAACAAATTAAAGAGGGTGGGACGAAACCGGGATTATATCAAGATAAGTGTCTTATATATAATCCGAGTTTCGTCCCACTCCTATGGAAATGTGCTACATTTAACAAAGAGGGTGGGACAAAACGGGGATTATATTTAACACAGTAAATTAAATTTGAAGTGTGTATATAAGGTTTGTAACTTTATTGAAAGGAAAAACTTTTTGTTTTAAGATATAAACTACCCAACAATTTAAAATAACGCCTTGAAAGGGTTTTCTTTTGGGGATTAAAGCCAACTGCAAAGAGAGGCTCGGAAAAGTTTTTGGGAAAAGAAAAGATTCTAAAAAAGATAAAATGGAGGGACAAAATTAAGGTAACGGTTTTAAAACCTGATTATACCGGCGTTAGACAATTTAAGAACATTTGACAAAGATGAAAGAGGTGGGTACCGTATAGGTATAACTTTCACCTCCCCCCCCCCCCCCCCCAAAAAAAAAAAAAAAACAAAACAAAACAAAACAAAACAAAAAATCAGAAAAAGATCAAATAGTGGGACGGCACTGTTACCCTATACATGTAGGTAACTGTTTCAATCCCTGATCATACCGGCTTTAGATAATTTAAAAACATTTCATAAAGATAAAAAGGTGGGACGGAACTGGTACCATATTGGTTACATGTTCAATCAAAAAAAATAATTAACATTTTAAAAAGATCAAAGTGGTGGGATGGAACTTGTACTTTTTGCGGTAGATAAAAAGGATATGAAAACATCAAAGAGGGGTGGGATAAAACTGGTATCATATACAAGTAATACCGCCAGTCTGAAATTACAATTTAATGAAGAGAAAAGAAAACAAATGTGGGACAAAACTGGTTCTCTACTTTATTATAACTGTTTAACTAATGCGTTATATATGTTAGAAAATGGGAATCGGAAAAAGCAAAAATGATACAGCAAAAATGATACAGCAAAACTGCTACCATATGAATATCACAGCGTATTAATTCCAAGGAACTTCGTTGTAGTTCGCGTTAACGGTTAAAGGGGCTTCATAGTATTTTAAAGCGTTACTACTAATATAAGGGAAAATGAATCTAATATTATTATACTAAAAAAATATGCTATTTTTTATCAATAGCAAGACAGCATTATTTTCTTTTTGTCTTTGAGTAATGTATTCTTCATTGTTCATAAAAACTGATTTTAAAATTAAATAAAGATGAAATCTAGTAGCATAAGATGAAATAATTGAATATTCTTGAAATTAATTTTCGACTGAAAAAATTGTTTATTAACTGATTATAAAAATGACTCTGTTTAACATTACTCCGTTTTACAATTAATATAGAAGTATGCCTCTGTTGAATTGCGTCCTTTACGATAAGGGAACGATCATTTAACTTCAAGAGGGGGGGGGGGGGGGGTTATGGTTTTTTTTACTGATCCCCAATTTGATGAACAAAAATATTCTGGTCAAGAAGATGACAAAAAAAAAAAAAAAAAATATTCTGAATCTAGATTTTTCCCATACCTTATAGTGTTAATTATTGAAATAAATAATTTGATTGATAACGTTGAAAAACTAAATAAAATTGATCGCGAAAAAATTTTTATGACTCAGACAAAAAGCCATAACCCCACCCTTGAAGTTAAATGGTTGCTCCCTAACTTACTTGAGTTTGTGTCGGTTACAGTGACATGAAGCTGTTCGTCTTGCTTGTGCAACGTGTCTGCTGAAATGTCTACTTGACTTTCGCAAATATCTTGAAATATCGGCACTAAAAAAAAAAAAAAAAAAAAGATAGATTATTCTAAATGTACATGTATATGCATATAGCATGCAAATTTGATAAAGTATTCTTTTTTATAAATGTCAACCGATTTTAAATAGTGAAGTTAATTAATCCACCATTTCTAAGATTCTAATATGCATTTTAAGGGGGTTTCCAACACTGATAAAATATTTACTTTGGCCTGTTGACAAATATATAAAACTTTCAAGACATTTGAACCACAAAATTTACAGAAATAATTTCATTGGATATATAGCAGTTTAACAAACACACATTTTGATCATTGAGAAGCTTATTATTTCCTCAACAATAGAGCGTGATTAAAACGTTCCGCTGCATTTTAAAGAGGTAACTCCCTTAAGTGTTCTGTACCCCCTAAAACTGCTCCGTTTGATCCAATTTGGTCTTAAGTATTATGTCCATAAAAAAAACCCGTAACTGATAAAGAATAGTTCAAAAACACGTTTAATAAGGTCCGATAAATGGATAGATTGGTGTTTAATAGTACTATATTGATATTACATTAAGTTTGCTAGAAGACATGACACAATATTTCGACTGCAAGCCAACCAGTCTTTGTCCTTACTCATAAAAACCACGTGCTAATCGGATAAACAACATGACCCAGGCGAAGCCAGAGCACTCCCGCGCTCGTGGCAAGCATTCTACCACAAGACCACCTAAGGGGTTTGTGCGCAATCATATATTTTATTTGATCAATTAAAACTCCATCCCGCTACTTTCAGATTATTGTACACGCATTTGTAATATATCTTATATATGAGTCAAATCTTATACAAGAACAAACTGAATATATTTAAATATCTGGGTTTGTGTTGTTCCTTTTTTAGTGTGGTGTGTAAGATGAGACAAAAGCATTTATTATAAAAAATAAGAAGATGTGGTATGATTGCCAATGAGACGACTCTCCACAAGAGACCAAATGACACAGAAATTAACAACTATAGGTCACCGTGTGGCCTTCACCTATGAGTAAAACCCATTCCGCATAGTCAGCTATAAAAGGCCCAGATGACAAACGTAAAACAATTCAAACGAGAAACTAACCTGGGACAGTGGTGTAACAGTGCAACATAAGAACAAACTATCAAAATCAGTTGAAAAGGGCTTAACTCATCAGATCGATACAAAGCAAAAATACATCTAACAAATCACAGAGTGGACGTGGCAGGGTACTTATACATCTCCACAACAAAAATACATTAAGTACAGATCTGAGAATACTTGCAGTTACTGACAGCTAGTTTAAAACCCAATAACAACTAATAAAAAGAAATCATGCATCTAAGACTTAAATATCAATCAATACACATCAAACATCCAACGAATTTAATGTAAAGACGTCAAATATATAAGTACATACGCAGGATATTTTCCGACTAGTTGGACATCTTTCAATTTTGTTACGGATTCATCTCTTGGTGGAACACATCGACCTGGTGGCTTCGGGGCTACTTTTACGGGTTGAAGATGGTGCGGAAGATACTGGTGAGGCGGTACGGGTAGGAGATGGTGAGGGAGAGGGAGAGGCTGGTGAGGAGGTAAGGGTTTGAGATGGGGAGGGAGAAGCTGGTGAGGAGGTAAGGGTTTGAGATGGGGAGGGAGAAGCTGGTGAGGAGGTAAGGGTTGGATATGAGGAGCTAATGGTTGGAGATGGGGAGGGAGAGGATGGTGAGGAGGCAATGGTTGGAGATGGGGAGGAAGAGGATGATGAGGAGGTAATGGTTGGAGATGATGAGGTAGAGGATGGTAAGCTTGCGATTGAACTGAAACAACATAAACAACCAGTACCAATATCCTATTTTGAAGCTGCTGAAATAATAAATTCATGAAAAATATGACATATGAAATAAATGCTCTAACGATATTTGATAAATGGAACTTTTCGGGACTTCCAATAGAAGTTTTTGAAATTTCGTCTTAAAGGGTTAAGTATCTATCAAACGACGATAATTTCACTTCAGAGTAAAATGATACTCCAAACCTCAAAGGAATTTTGAATATGATATTGCACAATCATCATCTCATTTAATTTTATTTCAAGTCAACTGGAAAACCCTGATTTGTCATAGAAAAAAAGACAAACAATTATCAAGAACAGAACAAGACGTTTCGTTAAATATAGAAAACTCTCTTAAAAGTAACGCAATAATTTCTTAAAACGAGAACTTTTTCAGAAACAAAAACAGAAATCATATTTTTTCTTATTTTTTTCAACAAACATCACTTCGTTCTATTTCATTTTTGTTTTTGTTTATTTATTTCAATTTCTGTTCTGTTTATTTTATCTTGCATATCTTTTAGTTTGCTAGAATTGAATTTAACTTATTTTTTCCCTTTTTTATTGTTTTTCATTTCATTTTAAATATCACTTATATTTTTTATTTGAACGAGACTAGTCGTATTTATCAAAGAAATAATGATATCTTCTTACCATATTTGTTTATGTAGAGTTTTGCCTTCACAACTATGAATACACAAAATTGAAAATGACAAAAAAATTGCAACACATTTAGTTTTTAAGCATTTGCATGAAGTTAATCCGTGTTAAGTCGTCCGAAATCTTAAATTGGGAATTTATTGGAACAGATGCCTCGACAATATATTGATAAACAAAGTAAGTAATGAAACTTTTTCAAATGTAAACATGAATCGAGGAAAACAGTTCAATATAATTACATATTTTGTTCCTTTCATGTTAAATAATTAGACGTAAAGTAACTTGTCAGAAGTAATCAGCCTAATATGATAAAGAAAACAACACTTAATATGTGCTCCTATACTTCTTAGGTGTAGCAGTGATTCATGTTTATATTTATCCAGTTCAGGTTCATACTTTATGTAAGGTCAGCAAAAATTGCGAACTATCAAAATCGGAAGCAACTTATGGTAACGTTGTAGTTGAGTTACATATTTATTAATACGATTTTAACATTTTATAGTATACAATAGTTTACTGTTATCACGTGACTGTTATACATAACATAAACATTACAAAGAAGCCGCAGTTTAATTTTGGCCGTAAAGCAAGTGAATTATCACTTTTACAAAATCATCATATAAAATATATATATAGTTATACTGAGGTTCAATTTGTTAGCCTGCATGACTTAAACACGACGAATGAACTTTATAAATAACTAATATAGGACAATGGTGTTGTTTAAAAATTAAGAGCTAAAAGGGCTAAAAATAAGGCATAGGCCATTTAATTCAACCACGGACTCGCGATTTCGCAGGTGTGAACAAGTATATATATGTCTGCCTTTGTTTAGTAACAACTGTAAAATATACCTTGTCCATCGGATTTCTAATGATTTAGAAATACTATAAAGTACCTAGAAAATCAACCTTACAAATGTTAGAGTAGATCTGATTCCTTACTTTCTCCTCCGACCGGGGCTGGAACCTGTACTTATCACTTCTCACTTCTACGGCAACACCGCCTAGCATTGCACAGACGCCTTATCCCCTCCTCTAACTATTACTGACCAACTTTTGTTTCGGGAGATGTTATCTTCTCGTAGGTACTATGTTTGCGCAATGCTAGGCGGTGTTGTCGTAGAAATGAGAAGTGAAAAGTACAGGTTCGTATCTTCACTGTCGGATGTTAAAAGATATTAAATGATTAGCATACAGTACACAAAACACAACACAGAAAACCGAAGACTGATGAGCAACATGAACCCCACCAAAACCTGGGGGTGATCTCAGGTGTTCCAGAAAAGTAAGCAGATTCTGATCCATATGAGGCACCCATCGTGTTGCTAATAAAAGTACAAAAAATAAAGTCTGTCCTAAACCATTCCAACTGCAGCATTTTCAATCACAGAGCACATCATTCTTACAGGAACTAACTAAATGTATGAATAATCAATTATACTTTAAGTTACATAATTACCTAATGCATTTTTTTTTACCATGTTTCTATTTATTTATCATACACAACGTTTATTTAAGAATGATAAAAAGGAATCTAAAATACCATTTAACTGATTTTTTGGCTTAAAATACTTATAATCTGCTTTCACCTATGGGCATACGTGTTTTCTCATGTAAAGGCCTCTTCACACTCGATGAAAACTCTAGTAAGCTCTTTACGATTATCACGACCTCAAGAGTCTTTGCGGGATCGTGAAAAATTTGGAAAACTGTCTTCAGTGTGAAGACTTAATACAACACTGCTACGCTTCTACTACGCACAAAATGGCTTTTCTTGGTGTTTCTTTGCGTTACCACGCCGTCTTCATACGCTTGCGTCACGCTCTTTACGCCAACGGTAAATTCCTACTATGATCATACCACGACAAAGCACGCTGCAAGCACGATACTGATTCGATATCATATGATTGTGCACGGATGCTGCTACGCACTAGCATTTTCTTCCTATGTCAGAAGAGCAGTAACATTTTCCTTCGTCTGCCTCTTTTTCGGGACATGTTATTTGTCGGGGTCTCAGTTGGCGCGGGAAGCTCCTCGGGACGCTTATGAACAGCTTCCTCTGTGAGTTGTTCCTCGGGTGCAGAAGGCTCTCTGGTTGTCTTTGTAGAACACCTATCACCACCATCTCTCCTTTTGCTTCTCATGGCTGGCTGATGTCACTGCAAAGACGTTCAGAAGATAAGAAGAATGGCTGTGACAACTGCAGTATCTATAGTTGAGTCGTCAACGTTAAATAGTCGTTGGAGCCTATTCGTGAGAAAGTACCGTGGTCCTCTTGATCGAAGTGAGAGCGGCAATGTCCATAGTAGACGCACAGCATGGACGTAGAACTATCGTTGTTTTGGCATAGCCGTCGTTATACAAGCTGCCAACACGCTCCTTCTACGAACTTGATACGATATCACTACGACTATTAAACACCACAAATCTCGCTACGTAATGTTTGTGCATGTTCAAAATTGTCGTCGCTTTACCATGCTCTACCACGCGCAATGCTAACCCCACTACGTTGCTAATACTCCCCTAAAGACTCCGCCACCTTGTGAAGATCTTCCACGATCTGGACGATTTTTAATATCGTAGAGCGGTCGTTGCCAATGTGAAGGACATTTAAACCACTTTTGACAATCATGACCTTTTTATATCCAGTGACAGTTGCCATGGTGGATTATACAAAAAAAAAAAAAAAACAAGTTAACTTGACCTGTTACTTTATACTACGTACTTGGTATACTTGCATTTCAGAAAGATTCTTATATTTAGGTTCATACAATACCGTTCTTATTAAGCTACTAAAGGTACTGACATGAAAAGATGTAAAACAGTGTAAATGCGAAAACCAATGGTCTAACTTATGGCGAAACAATAAAGAAATAATAAATATATCAGACTGAAACTAGCAACAATCACTAGATTACTGGCTCATGGCTTGGAACAGGCAAATATAGAATGTTTCTGGGATAAACATGTTTGCGAGCGCTCACCCATCTCCTAACACGAGACAGTGGTGTACAGCACAACATAGGACCAAACTGAAATGATCTCTTGGAAAAGGTGGAACTGATTCATCAGATCGACACGATGCACAAAAACAACTACTAGTAACACAAAAAAGCCTTAATAGACACAAAGTACTTATCTAAATGTACTCTAAGTTAATGAAAGTTAATGTTAAGCCAATTACAGGTATAATAAAGAAATCATGTATTCCCAGTCTAAAATATCAATCAATACACAATCAAAAAATTTAGTTCAAAGACGGCACACACAGTATAAGAAAAGCATGGCCTTGTAAGATGTCAAAATATTTATACGACGGAATGTATGACCATAATTTGTCATAACTGTATATTTAGTTCGTACATTGTGCAGATAAAGACAACATTGAAAGAACTTACTACAATTCTAAATCGATAAACTTTAAGAATGAGATATTTCGCACTAAAGTCCAAATGTAGATAACAAAAAAAAATATCTTGGAACATTCTCAAATAATTTAATCCGGATAGATAGAAATAATAAAGTGGCAACCGTCATGTTATTGCATGGATTGTATATAACGTTTTGGGGCCTTACATATATAGAGAGATAAAAAAAAAAGTCATTTCTCAATTATATATAGTAAGGAGGACATCTTGCCATGATATAATTTGAACAGTATTGAGCAATCTAATATTTTGGAGCCTTGCTATTGCAACCTGAAATAGTAGGATTTTTGAATTTTGAAATCTGTTGATTTCAGTGTAAGTAAAAACTGAGTTTTCTAATGTTATGGAACATAATATTGGTCGATGGTCTCATACTGAAAAAGGTTGGCTGTCTATAACTCTTGCATTTAATCCCTTCTAATTTCTGATAGCGGTATAAGAATATGATCGATACCAGTGGACGGACCACCGTCGTGTGATAAAAAACGTTGTTACTGGTCCATGGGAAAATCTTTATATCTATAAAATAATTGAGTAACAGTTTGGAGTACTTTGCGGTAACGGATTATTTAATTTAGTTTTTTTTTATTTTAAGATTGTGTGTACGTAAAACTCGTTAATCCCAACTAATTTTATGTCTGTACCATATGGGGCTATCTGGTTCATTGTTGTTTGCATTTGTTTGTATGTCTCGATTTATTTTTGGAGGAGTCGGGTGTATGCGGTTCGTGTTGTTTGTTGTGCTTTTCAGTATTTGTATTATTCCTGTCCTCCTTTTTATGTATTTTTAAAAACGATCCTTTACACATTCTTTTAATCTTCATACATTTGCTATTATGAAATCCGAAGTGCTCTTGACTAATTATCAGTTGTACTAAATGCTATCAGAAGAAATGCATATTCTAAATAGCCATTTTACAAATATCTTTTTTTCCAA